TAATATCTATAATATATAAAATATATAATATATAATTATAAATAATATACAATTATTAATATATAACTATATTATATATAATGTATAATTTATATATGAATATATTTATAATATCTATAATATATAAAATATCTATAATATTTATAATATATAAAATTTGACACAATAGAAAATGTGTAAAGTGTAAAATATAAAATTTTTATAAAATGTCTATATTTAAGAGTAGCTTTGGGGAATTGAATAGAAATTTATTTATGACTCTATGTAACAATCTATGTAACATTGGTATAACTCGCAATATTGGTATTACATTTATACAATATTTTTTCGTTTATATAAAGAATTGTTACACTAGTAATTTTTTTATTCACTTTTTCAATAAACAATGATAGAAATTTTCGTGGCCAAAATGAAAAAATCATGGCGGTAAGGGTTAAATACTACTCTGACTATATTTGACTAGGTAAACGCAGAAGCTAAATATGCATGTGCTTCGTTAAGATAGCTTTTACTCTCTCTGCCACAGATTTCGTCGTGTCTTGAAAAATTCATTCACTAATCATAGTTGGAAATTATACGAATATCGTTTCGAAGAAATATTTCGTTAATGTAATTGTTCGACCGAATTTTAAAAGTAATTATCCATTCGTTTGTAACGAGTCGTTTCTTGAATTCATTCGAATAATATCTAAGTGTATTATAACAATTGCGGCAAGAGTTACTCAAAAAAAGGTGGTGCAGTAATTTTGTTTGAAAATTATTACATAAAACTTATTCATAGTAACTTAAACTTATTCAAAAGTACAGGATTAATTTAAATTTAAAATTATTCAAAAATGTTTAAAATTAATTTATCGATCAAAAAATTATAAATTATTTATATATATATATATATATATATATATATATATATATATAATATTATAAATTAATACCATATACAATTATTATAATTTAATATAATAATTAAATCATTTTGAATGAATATTTAGCAAATATAATTATTCCAATGAATTCTTAATAGAATATTAATTATACAAATCATTCTCTGAATTTATTTAAATAATAAGCGCATTATAATAATTTTACAATAAAACATTATTGAAGTATGAGTGAACGGGAATGAAACGAAATTTATTTGTTATTAAATACAAAATTTAAATAAACATGCAAATATCATTTCAATATGCATTCAAATTAACTATTTTATTTATTTAATTTTTCTAAATTATTCACTTACTATCTTAATTTTAATTACGATCATTAGCGAAGAAATTGAATGGTTTGTTGTTTTTTGATTAACGAATACTACTGATTTACGCGAGATTCAGCATTCGTTTGAAATAGAAGTCATCTTCTATGAAAGTAATTAAATCTCTTACTCGGAAAGTTATTCTGAAACCACTTGAGTAACTTTGAGTAACAGATGCTGCGTTAATTTTAGAGCAGTTACCGACAGCTTAATATCATTTTCAGAGAAGCAAATTAAAATTTTCACTATGGAAACTTTTATGAAAGAGTATCTCCCGAATATTATTTTTCATTCAATTTTTTATTATTCTTACGTCTAAATTACAATTAACAATTATATTTCATAATGTTATTAATTTTACTATTAAAATATAAACTATAAATTAATGTGAAATAATAGCAATTTATTTATTATTATTAAACTGACTTTTGATATAAATCGTTGAAATAAATGCCTTGTAACTTATATATATATATATATATATGTACACGTTGTTTCTGTTAAGTATAAAAATTAATTCAGTACCTTTTTTTAGATAAATTCGTTATTCATCTTCTTTCGCATTATTTTGACAAAAAATTGTTTTCTGAATCATGCAAGTAAAACTTGTTTTTTCATGTTATAAAACAAATTCTTCTTACATTTTATCTTGCATGTTACACAATTTTACAATTGTGCTAATGATTTGTTGCACATCATTACTGTATATTATTGTACAATAGAATTAACATATTATGCAGTAACATTAATTATTTATTTTTACAATTTTTAATTATTTATTCCTGAATTGAAAATGGTAAAATCTAACGCGAGATATATTATAACTTAAGATTTCGCCGAGAATCTTTTCGTCTTGGAATCTTCCATTCGTGTAGGATATGTTAGGGGGAAGTTTTTGTATGTCGACGAGAATTGCTCTGTCAAAACGCGTTTACTTCTCATCGAAATCGCCTCGGGCAGTCACATCGGGCAAGAAATTCCGTTCTTCGCTTTTTCTTGATACAAACTACTGAACTGTGAGCTTTAAACTGCGGTGTATTGTTTGTAGACTGAGGGAAGCTTCGTTTGTTCGAATTTTTATAGTTGAATACTTATTTTTTATATTAATAATACATTATGTTAATAGTAATATTAACTTACTTTTTATTAATAATAATCTATGATGAAAATAATTTATTTTATTTCATACTAATAATAATAGTAGTAATAATAATCGTACATCTGTATTTATTATTGGTAAAATTTTTAGTATAGTGACCTTTCCCCTTTTGCTATGTTTTTCTAAAAAAAAAGTAATAAGAACTATGTAAGTTTGTTTCCGACCTTCGGAAATAGCCAAGATTCGAAAAGCTGTCACCAGAAATTCACAATTTAAATTTAAATATATTGCTGTCCTATTAAATTTTGCATTCTATTAAATATATATTGCAATTTCTCACGAAAGTATTCGAACGATCATGACAACTTTTCACAAGTGTTTTACGTGTAACATTAACAATGACTGTAATGATTATATTAGTCAAGTTTGAAATAGATTTATAAATTACCATTGTTATCATTATATACAGAATGACTTTGAAATAGGTTTATAAATTACCATTGTTATCATTATATACAGAGCAGAGCATGTTGAATATTCGAACGAAGAGATTTTATTAAATTAAATAAAGACTTTTACAACGTACGCGGAGAAATATAACTTATTATTAAATTATAACATAATATCATTGTTATTAAACATTGAGTAATGATCATTAAATTACAATTGCAGTAATGATCAATAAATATAATTTATAAATTGAGTACATAAATCTCATACAAACACATTCAGTTAAAAAATGGTTTAATACATATGTACTTGATGAAGTTTTAAATTGAATTTTCTCAAAAACAAAAATTGTACTTGATATTTTTCACTTATTTTTATAGCTAGAATAATTTTCTGTTCATTATTTATTCCTGATTTGTTTAGAACTAGCATCAACTTTCAATTTTTTTGAAAACCTTTAAATGAAAATTTATTCTTTATTTATACTTTTTTATGTGTCATAATGCGACCTCGACTTTCTTGAAAAATTTTGTAAGCTTTAAATGAAAATTTATTCTTTATACTTTTTCATGGTATCTTCAATACTGAGAAAATCATGAACACATATCCTTCTCGAATAAATACATGGTCGATTGATTGGATATTTATTCAACATAGTGGCAAATAAAACTTTATTACAAAATTTTGTTCAATACCATTTGAACGTTCTGTGGGACCTTTTAAGGACTCGGTATAATTTTCCAAACTGATTGCACTGTTTTTCGTCAAGTTAAAAAAAGAAACGTTCTTCCATTCCTGATAGATAAAAAGAAAAATCCGAGGGAAACGGAAAGCTGACGATATCCTGATGTAATTGTCTTAGCTTCGTCCTTTTTCACTGCAGTTTTTTTGTTCCTTATCCACTGCCTGTCGAGCTTTCACTACAGTGACGAGCGAGCCTTCATCGTTGAAACATGAGACCGCAATTCACTAGGCACTTCCTTTCTCCGCGATTAAGTGGGTTGTTTAAACTCTTATCGAAACAAAGAAATACGATCTCTGTAGGAAACGAAAAGCTGTTGCGAGGACTATTGAAGACTATTATGGTATTTCGTGCGCTGTATGATAATAATATATAAAATTATGGAGTATAATATATAATACAAAATATATTTATTTTATTTTATATATACAACATAAAATTACAATAATACAATAATATTTATAATTTATTTATATTAATTGGATCGGTAATATGGATATGTTAGTAAAACAATTAAACGATTCGTCACATAAAAACACTTCCACTCATTCGAGTTAGTAACACATTTTTCCACTTGTTTAGTCTTCTACTTTCCACTCTTATCGAACTGCACTGATTGTAAGGGTGGACCATTATTGGAAATTTCTAAAAGACACCCGACCTCCCTCTTAAAGAGGGAGGTAAGGGGTGTCGGATTTTGGGATGGCAGAAAGGGGCGTATTAGGGAGAAAGAGACCTGATAAGTGTTAGGAGTGGGGCCAGGTCAGGTAGTTAGTGTCCGACTTTTGGGGGAATGGGCCAGGTTGAGTAGTGTTGGATCCGGGGGGCGGAGAGCAGGGTCGGGTAATAGGCGAAAACGGGGGATCAGTGTAATTCGCAGTGAATTTCGGGGGGGGGGGGGGGGGGGGGGGAATAACAGGCCGAGTAGGATCGGTTTTGATCGACTCTTCCACATTCATGACAGAATTTTCATCCGTGTGATGAGGGGAGCCTTCACCGGATTTTCCGATGGGAAGTATCATTTACAGTAAACTCCCTTCACGCCACACATTTTTAGGCTTATTCGAAATAAACCAGTGTCGAATTATCTAATTAGTGGATTTCCCGCGTATTTATGTTTATGTGTCAATTAGTCCACCTTCGAGTTTTGGCCATTCGCATTAGACACCTAGCGGTACTCTGCCGAATTATTGTTTTGTCGACTCCTCGATTACTCTCACGTACAAATATATAGGGTGGTCACTGAAAGACTGAATGACATAAAACAAAAATAACTTTCACAAACGCATGTTTTTTAAATTTTTTATTATTTTATTTGGAAATATAATTAATGGATTTTTCTCTAGTAACTTTTTTTATAACCTACAAAAAAAAAAAAGAAAATAAAAAGGATTGAAAATGAACAAGTTATGACTTTTTCAAACTCTTTAGTTTTTTAGTGGCTATCCTGTATAATAACAACAATAACAACTGTATAATAACAACATTGATTTTTACCGTTTCAGAGAAACGTAGAGAATTTTCGATCGTCAGAGTGGAGGGAAGAAATCGATCCGAAAGACATGACGCAGTACCACCAAACAAGGATCCACACATCAATCGTAGTGGTATGTATTATATATTAAAATCTGATTAAATTCTATAAAAATGTAACTACAAAGAATAACAATAATAACAAAATAAATTGTAAAATTCAATAAAATGAAATGCACGTCCACTGCTTGAATTGTCAAATTATCAAATTGAGTTAATAATAAATCGTTAATAATTACTATTAATAATAAAAAATTCAAATTATCAAATTGAGTCAATAATAAACCGTTAGTAACTGCTATTAACAATAAACTGAAAGTGAATGAATCAATGAATTTTTTTCACATCATGTATGTATCTAAGTTCCTATTCACCATTTCACTATACTCGTCGCTTTATGAATAAAATGAACCCGGGATTGGAGTTTAATGACCATCATGCTTGCTTAACGATTTCCTCAGGGGTATTGAATCAACGCGGCGTTTATTGAAAGTTGTACATATATATATAATAATAAAAGTCATGTACTATGTCTGTATAGGGGCACTATGTCTTCAGACATACAGTCATTAAGGGAGTACACGTTTGGTTTTAATGCACAGTATTCCAGGCATTGTCTGCAATAAAAATTCTGTTACGATTCTCTTAGTAGCTATTAATCTTTGATTTCATCGCGTATTTCTTGTATTATTACGTTCCATTTAGAATTTAATGTTACTGTTCGTTTCCAGTTTTTTGGTGTCCAACAGTCGAATATTATTATATCATTATTTAGTAATATTAATACATTAGTAATAGTATTTAGTAATATTAATACATTAATATTACTAAATACTATACATTTATAATACTATTAATATATTAATACTATTAATACATTAGTAATAATATTTAGTAATATTAATACATTACAGAAATCTATTATTATAATTTAATTTATATTATTATATCATTATATATCATACGTTGATGTTCATTTCCTATTTTGGAGCTTTGAATTAAGCTTCGATTATTACTATATAATAGTATTAATATATTACAGAAATATATTATTACTAATATATTATTAATAAATCTAATTTGAAATATATTATATTATATAATAATATTATAATAGTATTCTTACAAATATTTCTTTTTCTTTATTAAGTGCTCTAAATATAATTGCAGCTATAATTTAATTTGTTTTAAATCATATTTGAAATATTTCTTTAATATCAGTGTTTATTATTAAAATTTCAAAATTTTCTTTACAAGTTATTTGTAATATATATTAATTGAAAAGGGAAATATATTTGGAAATATATTGTAATATATATTAATTGAAAAGGGAAATATATTTGGAAATATATTGTAATATATATTAATTGAAAAGGGAAATATATTTGGAAATATATTGTAATATATATTAATTGAAAAGGGAAATATATTTGGAAATATATTGTAATATATATTAATTGAAAAGGGAAATATATTTGTAAATTACTATATATTGAACAAATATGTCATTACAAATTAATTTTCAATATATCAATAATGTTTTACAAAAAATTTGTAACACATATATATACAATGTATTATATTATTATACTATATATTACTATTAAATATAATACATATCACATTATTACAATTATACATTACACAAACTTAATTAACTACAATACCAAGTTCAGTAAATAATTTGATCATTAATTACACTTTTAACGTTTCAAATTCTTACAAATACGTGATATAGGAAACCAATATTTCTTTTTGTCCTAAAATCTCAAGTCTTCAAACTCTTCCATAAAAAATTTCACACTCTAATTGTTGTTACGCTTACACACAATTACAACATTCTAATAAAACAAAGGATTCGAGCAATTTGTTTACCTACGTAGTTCCATTCACTGCTAATAATTATCATTTTGTTATTTATCGTCTCTTTAGAACACGTGACAAAAATCGAACTGGAGCTGGAGGAGGCTCCAGAGGACGTGATCCTTGTCGGATCGATGCCATCCGAATTGGACGACATCGGTGAAATCAATTCCACCTATCCGAATGGTGAGTACAAAAATCGCAAAATAAATACCTAAGTGACCAATCGCTCTCATGCGTGTGTAATTTGAAAATCACGGGATGGTCCACGATTCGTTTCGCTCTATTGCAAATTAGAAACAACACGCGAGATTGAAGGGACACGCAGGACGTGCCTTGAAATTTGACAATACTGTGGGGAGAAACTGACCTTTTCACGTTTTGGAAACACCATCAGTGATTTAGTTAATTACGTGGACTAATTGGTAGTGTTTACTCATGCGCCAATTCAGTGTGTTGGACGTTATTTAAATAAATTGTTATTATTTTATATAATATAGTATAGTTAGTTATATACAGTATATATAATATTTAATATATAATATATAACATAGCATAGTTAGTTATATACAGTATATATAATATACAATATAGTATAGCTAGTTATTATTTTATATAATATATAATTTTATATTTTATAATTTTATTATGTCTACGCAATTTTAAATTTATTATAACTATTTCTATTTAGGATGCGGATTTTGGTCCGTTTCAGAATTTTTCTGAACATCGTGAAAGAAATAGGATATAATAAAAATTTGTTTTATTTGTTATATATCATGATATACTATATTTTGAATATTTTGTTTAATTCGAATTTTCTGTAAATCCTCATATTACTTCTGTTAATATATAATGTTATATTTGCGTTAATGAAAATTTTATTACATTATATTCTACATGAAAATTAATAAATTTTCAATATACATCGGTTACTACTTTTTTTTTTGATAGAGAATGTTGTTACATTGATATTAATCGATTAAGAAATACATGTATCATTATAATTGTCGAAATAATCAATGAATGCAACGAAATATTTGAAATATAATAATCAATAAATAGAAACAAACTTTTCAGTCAAATGTAAATATTTGAAAGTACTGGAAAACATTAAAATGCTTATTTAAAGTGCAAAATTGAAATACAAATAAATAAAACAAGATATAAGATAAAGATAAAATTGATTAATTGATCTCAATTAAATTTTCGAACATGAAATATTTCAATGTTTTTGTTTTTAGTTTTGAATACGTATTTATATCTGATCGAGAGTTTGGGCTAATATTAAATTGTTGCAAAATATCTGATTTTACAATCATGTAGTAATATTTATTGATGGTCAATTTAACATAATTGATGTTTTGTCAATCATTTTATTACAAAGGCACAAATTACAATCGATATTGAATTTAGAAAACTTCGAAACGTCGCAATAAAAATTATAACTGGACAAGTTTCCGATGGAAAAATGATTTCAATTGTAATAACCATGACTCCCTTTCATACGAACACAACGAATCATATTTCGATTAATATTATATTCAAAGGAAGCTGAAATTTTTATAAAAACTTCGATCATTTCATTTGCAACGACTATAATAATAATACCACAAGTGAAAATTTTCAAGTTTCAAGCGTGAACAAAGAAGATTGTAGAGGTAAAAATTACATTTTGGTAATTTTATCGTCGGTGTAAATTTAGATAAAGTCGTGGTATTAAAAACAACACCGCGAGTTGAAATTTTTGTTCCAAGTATTTACAAAGAAAGGTGAAACGTAAAATCGAAAGAACGAAGTTAGGCAGATTCGCCAGAATAGTGTTCTATTCATTGTGTCTTGGAGCGGGAATATTGTTGAGATTACAGGAAGTAAAACTCGGGAGCGTTTATGGGAGCTGAAGCTTTCTGGGATTTCGAGCAATTTAACGAGCAGGATTTTACGACTGTCTCCTGCACTCTTCGGTTAGATTTGCACAGTGCAGTTCGGTTTTGCATGGTCTTCCTTTGCAGAAAGAGTGCTTTTACTATCTTCGAGCTCAAAGAAAGTGGTTATCCATAAAATTCAGACAAATTTAAGGGGAGACATTTAATTTAATTTAAGACATTTAATTTATTTTAATATAATTTCCAAGAGTCTCATTTCTCGTAATATTTTTATTAATGCAATAAAACTTTCTAATAATGCAATGAATATAATTTTGTAAAATATAATATAATGCAATGAACATAATATAATATAATACAATACACTATAATATAATATAATAAAATAGAATATAATACATTAAAATAGAATATAATACATAAACTATAGTATAATATAATACAATAAAATATAATATAGTAGAATATAATACAACATAACACAACCAATAGTTTTATATATAATACAATACAACATTATACAATACACTATAACACAATAGTATAACATATTATAATATAATAGAATACAATATAACATAATATAGCAGAATATAATACAACACAATACAACTAATATTTTTATATATAATATAATACATCTTACAATTATTAATAATTTATATACACTATATTAATTATAATACACTACAATATAATACAATAGAATATAATACAATACAATACAATCAATATTTTTACATATCTTAAAGAGTATGACTTTATGGATTTTGATGGACATACACACAAATTTAATTAACTTACCTGTATCAATAGTTTTAATTAATTCAAACATATTCCAATATAATATAGGGTGACAATCATTCAGAATGTTAACCTTGACAATATATTTCAATGTTGTCGAAATCCGTGAGGTTGTCTATTTGGTAAATAATTACCAAATACTGTAGCTAATATCTTTTCAATATTAACAATATTAATGTAATAATCTTGATATAATAAAACAAATTTTCAACATTAGGATACAATTCTCTTTCTATACTTAAATAATTCCATCACCATTGCGATAAGTTTGTATCAAGAGTAAGAATAAGTTTATTTCATCGAAAGACTGAAAATAATATAAATAAAACGATATTGCGAATAGGTATTCCAGAACCAGGTGCGGTTATAGTCAGAGCTGAAGAGGCATTGATAGTTATTCTGGTTCTTCTTCTCTGGGCTGCAGCGATCGCGTTATTCTTCAATCGATGGGGAAAGATCAGAATGCTAGAGCCATATCAACCGAAATTTCAACAGCAACACAGACAAAGCTGTACCACGATCGAACAAAATCCACTCCAGGTAATACATACACCTGTATTTTATTTGAAGATAAAATAAGTTACGTTTTCTTCCAGTATCTTATCAATCAGCTCCCGAAATTATATTTTTGTTAAATTTCGCTGCAAGATATTCTTGATGATATTTAGATGAAAAATATTTATTTTGAATGTTATTGTCTTGGATGATGTTAATTTCAAACTCAAGGTTCAGAGACTTTTTATTTGAAATTGAAATAATAAATAAAAAAAGGTGCAACAAAACGAGCTATAATGTATTATTTTTTTTATTATCAATCATTTGATTAATATTTTCTCTTTCGTGCAAATATTACTATTGTATTTGAAATGATATATTATTAATATATTATATTATTATTATTGATATATTATAAATATTATTATTATTGTATAATAATATATATTATTATATACATTGTATGATAATATTATATATTATATAATTGTAATTAATTATTACTATTAATATTATAATTAATTATTACTATTATTAATATAATTAATTAATTATTATAATTCAATATCTATTGCTATGACTTCATTTAGTGAGAAATGGTAGTATTTCATTTGAGCATTTAAGAAAGCAACAATGCAAAAATACAAAATTTTACAACATCAAAATTTTACAACATTCAAAAACATCATAAGAGTGATTTATGTTACTATAATTCTCAGCCCTTCATATTTCATACATTATAATGATTATTGCTCGTGCAATGTTACGTTAGTATTATACATGTTGTTCTGGCGCAGAACAGAACCCTCCGAGGCGTCTTGTCAGGTCACCTCCTACAAGCCTCGGCCCTGCCGAGAATTGCCAGATGTGCAAGCATACCTCTCATCCAAGGACACTTTCCCTGGCCTTGG